CCAGAGATCTGGTGCCCTCTTCTGTCATGTAGGCATTCCTGCAGGCAGAACACTGTACATAATAAATAAACCTTAACAAATAGATGTAAGGGGAAACGGGCGTGGATCTGGGGGAGAGGAGTGGATGGAAGGGAAACCGGTCAGGATATAACAGATGAGGGAAGGAAAAAAGGATACATGTCTCCTTCTCATTCTTGTAACAGACATGTGGAGGCAGAGGTCGGACTGAGGGGAGGCCCACAATCCCATTCACCCCAGATAGCACCAGGGAGGTGGGAACCAAACATTTCCGTGTGTTTATGTGTGGTGTACAGTGTGTGTGTGGCACATGTCGGTGACAGAGCCTTTCTCCACTCTTCTCCCTCAGGGACTCTCGCTGGACTTGGAGCTCACTGTTTTAGGTAGGCGTGGTGGCCGGTGAGTCCCCAGGAAGGACCTGACTGTCTCTGCTGCTCCAGTGCTGTGGTTACAGATGTGGTCCCCAGACCTGACTTTTATAAGAGTGTTGGGGATATCAACTCAAGTCGTCATGTCTTCAAAACGAGTTCTGTACCCACTGAGCCACCCCCCCATACAATCCTTTTTCTTTCTTTTCCTTTTGAGATAGTATCTCTGTGTGTGCTTGACTGACCTGGAACTCACTCTGTAGACCAGGCTGGTCTTAAAATCACAGAGATCAACCTGCCTCTGCCTTCCAAGTGCTAGGATTAAAGGTGTGCACAGGAGCTGGGCGTTGGTGGCGCACGCCTTTAATCCCAGCACTTGGGAGGCAGAGGCAGGCGGATCTCTGTGAGTTCGAGGCCAGCCTGGTCTACAAGAGCTAGTTCCAGGACAGCCTCCAAAGCCACAGAAGAAACCCTGTCTTGAAAAACCAAAAAAAAAAAAAAAAAAAAACCAAAAAAATAAATAAATAAAAATAAAGGTGTGTACAGCCACACGTGACTAATACACCATTTCCTGTGAAAGAAACTTCTACGGGGTGCTATGCAGTAATTCCTCTTCTGATTGGCTGAAGTGTAGTCACATGGTTATACTCACCTGACACACTTTAGCTGGCTTCCATTACCTTTCCCAGGCCCATTTCCTTGGGGGGACTGGGAAACGGTTGCCCTCCCTGCCACCTGGGTCCTCATGACTCCCTACCTTTTCCCAGCGCAGCCCCAGATTCTGAACTCCATCTACAGAGTCCCAAGAATGTGCCCTGCCGAAACTGAGCTCCAGGCCACGGGGAAGGCTCTGTCCCAGCCTCCAGGCACCCCAGGTGGCAGGGGCAGGCTACCAGGTGCACAGGCCAGAGTAACTTAGACACTGGCCTCTGGAACCACTATTTTGGGTTTTGCTGACAGTGTATGAGCAAGAAATAGCAACAAGGGCAGAGTTGTTAGGACCTCTGAGCATTGGGGGTAAATAGTTTGGGCTGCTAGCCAGGGCTGTGTCCCATCTGGATAATTCCAGGCCCACCAACTCCAGGTTGAACTGAAAACAGCTCTTTCTGAGTTAGAGCAGCCATACATGGTCCCACCTAGACTCTGGGATGAAGCTTGACACAGCAGAGCCTTCTGCCATCTTCCAGCTAGGACATAGAGGGCAGCCAACAGCTATCTGGAACTGGGACCAAGTGCCCCAGAGATGAGACAGAGTCACCTGGAAACACTTGTCCTAGAGCCTGAACCCACATCTCATTCTGATTTCTTTCTCGGAGCCTCAGTTTGCTCATCTATAAAATGGGGGCGTGAATTCATACCTACCTAATTTTATATAGATTACGAATTGCAAATGAAGTAAAGAGAAGCTAAGGTCCAGTCCAGTGGTCAACCATCCTGCCAGGTATCCCGACTTAGGGCACTGTCCACTTAGGAGAAAGGACACATTTTCTTTCATGCAGTTGGCTGCTCAAGAGTGCATTTGTGCATGCCTGCTGTTTGCTTGGACAGGGTACCTTATTTCCACAGAGAAGCACTCACCCTTCAGGAATAGAACAGAGAAATGTTCCTTAAGTCCCGCCCCCAAAAGAAGTCAGAGCTGGTGGGGGACTCTGAGGAATCAAGGGGGTCTATGAGTTATATGTGGGGGGAGGGTGCCGGGTTAACTGGATAGGAGACACTGCACGCAGGTGCAGCTAGAGCAGAGATCACCCAGCCCCATGGCATGTCAGGATTCAGGGTGCTTCATGGTCAGGTAACTGTCATGGTCAGGTAGCTGTGGGCCGCAGCCACAGCTGATGGCCCATGGACTCATGGGGCTGTACCTGAAGGGGTTGCAGGAGCCTTGGCCAGGACCACAGCTCTTAGGGTTTGAGTCTGAAATGTCTCCTCCAGGGTCATCTGTCTGAAGGTTTGCCCCCCAGTTGGCGGTGCTCTCTGGGGACGTTTTGGGGCCTTTGGGACATAGAGATGGGTTATGAGTGATAGACATCTGAAGGTTCTACCTTCTTCTGATTCCAGTCTGAGATCTCTGCATCTGGCCTGATGTTGTAGTCACTGCTCTATTGCTCTGGAAAAAAAACACCGTGACTGGAGGCTTGCTTGCTTATAGTTTTAAAGGTTCATCATAGAAAGCAGACAGGCATGGTGCTTCACATCCTGATCTTCAGGCAGCAGGCAGAAGAGAGAGAGAGAGAGAGAGAGAGAGAGAGAGAGAGAGAGAGAGAGAGAGAGAGAGAGAGAGAGAGAGAGAGAGAGAGAGAGCCTGAACCAAGGTGTAGACTTTTGAAACATTAAAGCCCCATCGCCAATGACACACCTCCTCCAAACAAGGCCACACCTCCTAATCCTTCCCAAACAGTTCCACTAAATGGGGACCAAGCTTTCAAACATGTGAGCCTTTGTGGGCCGCTCTCATTCAGATCTACACTCTGAGTTCTCTGACTCCTGCTCATACAGTGTGAGCAGCCTTACACTCCTGCTGCTGCAGATGGAGCTACCACCAGTCTCCTCAGAAATTGTGAAGCATAATAACATCTTCCTAGCCAGTGGTGGCCGCGGCACATGTCTTCATTTCCCAGCACTGAGGAGGCAGAGACAGGCATATCTCTCTAAGTTCCAGGCCAGCCTGGACTATAAAGTGAGTTCCAGAACAGTCAGGGCTGTTACACAGAGAAATCTTGTCTTAAAAAACCAAACAAAAAGACGTCTTCCTTTAAGTGGCCTCTAGCAGGTGTTTTGCACAGCGTTGGGAAAACTAATAACACGGGCATGGGACACTCTGCTACAACCAGGGACCAGCAAGACGAGGGCGGGGGTGGGGCGGTGCAGAGGTTTGGAGCACTGGACCGAGAGCTCACCTGTAAAGACCCATCTCTGTCTGCATCTTTAGCCTGGAGATGTTCCTCAAGCTGTGGGAGCTGAGATGCACCCAGAAAAGTAAGAGCACCGGGGAGGCACGAAGACAGCACCCAGAGAAACCTTCACGCTCTAAGGAAGCCGCCAGAGAGGAGTGGGGAGCATGGATCATTTCCCCCTCACAGGCAGGGCAGGGCCGCGCTGTTTCCCAGTGAGGAACCCAAGAAGAACTGCCTGCCTGTCTTCCTCCTTTTCTCACGGAGCCCGGGCTGGCCTCACACCCTCTGTGTGCTGGGATGACCCGGAACTTCGGATCCTTCTGCCTCTGCCTCCCCAAATGCTGGGATTCTGGGTCTGCGACTCGAGGGCACACACATGGCTTATGTCATGCTGGGTGTGACGGTTTGAATGAAAATGGCCCCCACAGGTGCATAGGAAGTGACACTGTCAGTCACAGCCTTGGTGGGGGAAGTGTGTCACTGGGGGCAGGCTTTGAGGCTTCAAATGCTCAAGCCAGGCCCAGTGTGCTTTCTCTTCCCGCTGCCTGCCAATCCAGACACAGCGTCTCCGCGGTCATGGTGTCTCTATACAGCAACAGAAGCCCTAACTAAGACATTGAGCCTCACGCACACTAGGCGAGCACTCTACCCACTGAGCTACCCCCCGGCCCGAAACTTACCTATGTAGTCTAGGCTGGCTCTAGATGCAGAGGGTTAGATCCGTAGACATACTGTGCCTTGCTGCTTTGCTCTCTGTAGTGCCATGGACCAAACCCAGGGTTACATTTCCTCAGCAAGTGCCTCACCCCTGCAATACACCCCAGCTCCAACAGTGAGTCTTATTTTTAACACTGCTCTTTTTTTGCTGCTATTCTTGTGTTTTGGGGGTGGTGCGTTCATGTCTCAGCGTGCGGAGGTAAGTGGACAATTTGTGGAAAATGGTTCTTTCTTTCCGACATGTGGGACCCAGGGACTGAACTCAATCAGGTTGGCAGCAAGCACCTTTACCTGCCCAGCTGTGTCGCAAGACCTTCATTTTTTTTTTTTTTTTTTTTTTTTGGTTTTACAAGACAGGGTTTCTCTGTATTGTTTTGGAAGTTGTCAGTCCAGCCCGGCCTCGAACTCAGAGATCCATCTGTCTCTGCCTCCCGAGTGCTGGGATTAAAGGCGTGTGCCACCCCCGCCCGGCCCCATTTGCTTTATTTTAAAATAAACATTTTACTGTTTCTGTGTGCAGGCATGATGAGTTAGGGTGTGATGTGTGCCGTAGCATGGTCATGGAGGTCAGGGGACACCTTCATGGAGTCCATTCTCTCTTTACCTTTCTAAGGTGGAAGACTGACGCCAGGTCATCAGGGCTTGTGCTAAATCTTTGGCTTGATGAGCCGTCTTGCTGGCCCCCCAAAGTGAATTTTGACTACGGCGGGGAGAGTATACGACACTTGGAACTTTCTGTTTTCCTTTTTTAACAGACAACTTCAGCCTTGGGTGAGGGTGTGAGGGGGACAGGTGAGGGAGAGGTCACCTGGTCTTCAGTATGTCATCAGACCTCCTCTTGAACCCAGGACATCATCACTAACCGATCCCCACCTGCACCCTCTCCTCATTGGGCCTTGCCATGTCCTCGGGCTCCTCCCTCCTCCAGGCTGCTGATCAGGGCTGGCAAGACATCCTGAGGCTTGTGGCCTTCGTGACAATAAAGCCATGGTCTCACAACATCTTTATTATGATGAACCTTTTATTATAGAGACAGACTGAATTTTCTTCTGCATAAAGAATTTCTGGATTGGGTCAGGGGACTCCGCCTGCTGAAGGGTACTACCCAGCCTGCCCTGCCTCAGTGAGGCCCGACTTGCTGGAAAAAATCTCAGGATCTCTGCAAACAGGGGAGACTACCGTCCCCAGGGCCAGGCAGGTCAGTTTGGGCCACGCTGGATGGAGGGGGTCAGGGCTTCAGGCGCTCCTTAAATCAGAGTCGTCCTGATTCCCGCCTCAGCCTGTTGTCCAAAACCTGGAGCTGTCGGAGAAAGCCTGAGTTGGGGCAGATATCTCGGTGGGCCTGCACCGTCTGGATGGCATCTACCAGAGTCATGTTCTCGAAGATCATGAGGAAGGCCAGGACAACTGTGGCAGAGCGGCTTACCCCCATGGCGCAGTGAACCAGCACGCGGCCTGTAGGAAAACCCAAACTACCATCAGCCGCCTGCACCCGCCTCGCCTTTGAGAAGAAGGGACAGCTCTGGTCATCCCTTCTGTCCACCTGTCTCAACACCCTGGAAAACTAACCCTGTCCTCATTGTCAGATGGGACAAGGGAGGCTTGAGGCCACACAGCAATTTAGTAGAGACAAGTGAGCAGCTAGGCTCCTCCCCCTAGCCCAGAGGGGCCGCCTCTGATGGCCATGCAATTCTGGGAAGGGATCATCAGACTTCTAGAGCCCCTTACAGGGATTTACATCACAGGGAGTGAGCACCCTCTCCATCTCCCCTCAATCCTGCTCTCTCCTGCCCGTGAAGCCTTGAATGTTTCCTCTCTGAGCTCTGCCTAGTGAATGGATACTTTCTTTTTTCTTTTTTTCTTTTTTTTTTTTTTGGTTTTTACGAGACAGGGTTTCTCTGTATTGTTTTGGAGGCTGTCGGTCCAGCCCGGAACTCACAGAGATCCGCCTGCCTCTGCCTCCCGAGTGCTGGGATTAAAGGCGTGTGCCACCACCGTCCAGCGACTGGACACTTTCTAAGGATATGTTATACTAGTGTCCATAATGGATTGTGTGTGTGTGTGTGTGTGTGTGTGTGTTCTTTGATGTGGTGGTACACATGAGTGTTCAGGTGTGTATCCAAATGTGTGCACGGACATATAAAGGTCAGAAATCTGGAGGTTACTCCTCAGGCACCTCCTGCCTTTGTATTTTGAGACGGGGTCTCTCACTGGCTCGGCTGCTCTGATGTGAGCCTCAGATAGCCTCCTATTTTTGTCCACCTGGTGCTGGGAGAACAGGCACACATTACCATGGCTGCCTCTTCCAGGCAGGCTCCAGGGACTGACCACAGATCTGTGTCCATCTCTCCAGCCCCCTTGGTCATATCTGCAGTTGTTGATTTCCACGACACACTCACTAAGTGGTAACAGCCACCCGCTCCTTAGAACGGGGGGATTGATGATGGGGTTGGTGCCGTGGGCTCCCTACCCATCAGTGCTACTGTAGAAACGGACAGCACCGCATCCCACCCTGCCCCCACCCTGCCCAGGCCCTTCCCCAGAAGCTCACTTTGGGGAGTATTGAGGGCATCTCTGATGTATCGAGCAACAGGCAGAAAGTAAACACTGAGGTCAAAGAAGGGATTATCATCAGCCTCAATGCCATAGTACTCCACAGGTGTTCCACGGTAAAACTTGGCACCTGTGTCCACTTGAAACTTGCCTGCAGCGACATTCACAACATGGGTGATGCCCAGTTGGAGCAATCGACTCTTGTCTCGGGCAGCATACCTAAGGGAAAGGCACATGGGAAGTGGGCGGGGGTTGGTCTCACAGGGTCAGAACTTAACCTCACCCCTCTGTTCTCCTCCAAGGGTAGAGACTGAACAGCGGACTTCCTTCCCTAGCAAACGCAATCCTCTAGAGTAGGGCTTCTCAACTGTCCTAACGCTGTGACCTCTAACACAGTTCCTCATGCTGTGCTGACCACCCCCACCATAAAATTATTTCATTGCTACTTCATAACTGTAATTTTGATGCTTTTACTAATCATAATGTAAATACCTGAGATGCAGGTTATCTTGTATGCAACCCTTGTGAAAGGGTCATTCAACCCCCAATGTAGCCATGGCACCACAGGCTGAGAAACACCTTTCATCCTGGGAAACTTCCTGAAGGGATGTCTAGCTGTGTGCCAGGCACTGGTGGCACATGCTTTTAATCCCAGCACTCAGGACGCAGAGGCAGGTGGATTTTTGTGAGTTCGAGGCCAGCCTGGTCTACAGAGCGAGTTCCAGGACAGCCTTCAAAACAATACAGAGAAACCCTGTCTTGAAACCCCCCCCAAAAAAAAGAGAGAGAGAAAGAAAACCTTATAAATATGTGTATACTTTTCTGTAAACACTTCTTCTAGGAACATCCTAAAAGGAAGAATTCAAAATGTGCCAACAGACATTATATAAGCTGAACTTAGTGATATTTGGAAGAGAAGGTTTTTTTTTTTGTTGTTCTTGTTTTTGTTTTGTTTGCTCATTTGTTTTGTTTTTTTGAGACAGGATTTCTTTGTGTGTAGCTCTGGCTGTTCTGGAACTCATTCTGTAGGTCAGGCTGGTCTCAAGCTCAGGGAGGTCCTCTTGCCTCTGCCTCCCAAGTGCTTGGATTAAAGGTATGTGATATCACTGGCCGACTGAAAACTTATTTTTTTTTTACAGAAAAAACAACTTTATTCTGTAATAGGTTATGAAGTATGGTATACTAGCTGGGCATTGGTGGCACACACACCTTTAATCCCAGCCTCGGGAGGCAGAGACAGGCGGATCTCAAAAGTGTGGTATATTAATCCACTTTTATCTGTAGTTTTACATTTCAGAGTTTCATTTATACCCAGTCAAGTATGGATTCAAAATAGTGAAAAAAATAATTACAAGTAAACAATAGATTAAGCTTTGCACTGTCCTGCTGTGATGTGCCCTAGGCTGTCATAGCCAGCAGTAGTTGTCAGCTTTACAGATCTGTGTAGAGAAAGCCTCAGTTGAGGAGCTGTGACCCTGCCTGGCCTGTGGGCGTGTCTCGGGGCATGCTTCAGTTGCTAACTGACTTAAGAGGACACAGCCCACTATGGGCGGTGCCATCCCTAGCAGGGCCCGGCTGTGTCAGAAAGTTTAGCAAGTCAGAGGGACTGAGTCAGAAGCCGCCACCCTCCATGGTTTCTGCTTCCAGCCCCTGCCTTAGCTGCTATTGATGGCCAACTCTTCTGTCATCCAAATAAACTCTCTCCTCCCTAAGCTGGTTTTGGTCAATGTTTTATCACAGTAACAGCAAGCTAGAACGAGGACAAGCATTGCCCTTTAGGCCAGTGTATTCGCATTGCAGGCTTCATTAACCATTAATTGTTGATTGGCTGTCTCAGTTATACGATTGGCTGTCATGGTATCACAGGCCTGTGTTCAATTAGCTTTTATTTAATATAGTAATTACTGTTTTGTTATTACTAGTGTCACTTTCTTTTTTAAGATTTATTTATTATAGCCGGGCGTTGGTGGCGCACACCTTTAATCCCAGCACTCGGGAGGCAAAGGCAGGTGGATCTCTGTAAGTTCGAGACTAGCCTGGTCTACAAGAGCTAGTTCCAGGACAGCCTCCAAAGCTACAGAGCCACCATGTGGTTGCTGGGAATTGAACTCATGATCTCTGGAAGATCAGCTAGTGCTCTTAACCACTGAGTCACCTCTCCGACCCCTACTAGCATTACTTTCTTAATCTAATTTACTAAACTTTACAAAGGTCTGTGTTAGTAGGAAAAAAACAGCATATTTTATGAGCATTTGATATAGTCTTCAGTTTTAGATATCCACTGGGGACTGTAGAACACATCCCTCAGATGAAGCAAATTCCTGTGTGCGTAAATGATGTAACACCATGACTCGCTAAAATGTGGTGAATGCAGGTAAACAAGGGAAGATGTTTATATTCTACTAAGAACCTGTGAAAATACTGGCTATAAAACAGAATGTTTAAGAATTTTTAAATATATAGTAGAATTCATTGAAAAAGCTTTCTATATAAAGCATATCTCAAAACAGTATTACAAAGTGATGGCATTTTAGCCAGGCAGTGGTGGCACACACTTTTAGTCCCAGCACTCGGGAGGCAGAGGCAGGAGGATCTCTGTGAGTTTGAGGCCAGCCTGGTCTGCAAGAGCTGTCTCTGTCTCTCTGTCTCTCTGCCTCTCTCTCTCCCTCTCTCTTTCTCTCTCTCCTTCTCTCTTGTAGAAACCTTAGAAAACTCATGTTTTCCCAGGATACCTGTTACTAGGATTACTGTAGTAGTTTAATGTGGAATCAGTACAAATGAAGAATTTACTGTATAGTCACACGATGGAATACTATATAATAATATCTGCAGCTATTCAGAAAAACATTGTGTCACACAGTTTTAACCAAATGATTCTGTCCATGAAATACATGCAATTTGGGCAGCTTGAGGACCTGAGTTCAAGTCCCTGGCACCCATATAAAAACCAGTTGCAAGTGTTGCGTGTCTGTGATGTATCATCGCTCCTGTAGTGGAAACAGGAAAATTCCCAGAATCTCCTGGGCCTGCTAGCCTGGCATGTGCAGCAGAGGACAATCAGGCAGAAAATGTGTCTCTGACCGCCACAGATGCCCTGCAGCAGGTATGCAGCTGTGTTTACACACACACGGACACAAACAGATATGTATGTATATGTATACATATGCACACATGGAAGCAGTTTATTTTAAATTTATGTACATGTGTGCGCTGCTGTGAGTTTATGTGCACCATGTGCATGAAGGAGCCTACGGAAGTCAGAAGAGGTCGTTGGATCCCCTGAAACTGGAGTTACAGGCTGTTGTGAGCTGTCATGTGGGTGCTGGGAACCAAATTCAGAGCCTTTGCAAGAGCAGTAAGTGATCTTAACTGCTGAGTCATTTCTTTAGCCCCACAAGATAAAAAAACAAAAAACAATTTACATATTATTTACTCTAACTTTTGAAGACAGGCAAATGGCCCATCTATGTTGCTTAGGTAGTGGAACTTGAAAGAAAAATAATGCTTTTGAAATGGGCATAAAGCCAGGCAGTGGTGGCACATGCCTTTTGTCCCAGCAGTTGGGAGGCAGAGGCAGGAGGATCCCTGTAAGTTCAAGCTCAGCCTGATCTACAAATCGAGTTCCAGGACACCCACGGCTACAGAGAAACTCTGTCTCAAAAGAACAAAAAAGACATGAGTGTAAATGGAGGTACTAAAGAGTAAAATTACACAGACCCAGAGAGTATCTTATGTGTTCACTAGTTTGTGGTTCCTAGGTTCTACGCAGCTACATAAAATCATGTATGTATTGCATACATGTGGCCCTAAAACAGAAGCAGCGTTCTCTGGTGGAAAGGACCAGACTGATGTGAGGGAGAGAACGCGGTGGAGCACAGCGGCACACGCTTGAATCCCAGCACTGGGGAGGCAGAGGCAGGCGGATCTCTGTGAGTTCAAGACCAGCCTGGTCTACCTAGACAATTCTAGGTTAGCCAGGACTATAGTGAGACCCTGTCTCAAATGCAAACAAAATGGGGGCGAGCATAGGAAGGTGAGTAGGATGTGAGAACTTGAAAAACCTCTGCCAAACCCATCAGCATGAACAATGAAGACATACCAATTTTAAAAAAATAATGAGACAGGCATGGTAACATGTGTCTTAATCCCAGCTCTGGAGAGGTGGGTCTTTGAGTTTGAGGCCAGCCTGCTCTACCCAGTGAGTTCTAAGATAGCCAGCCAGAGCTGCATAGTGAGATGGCGGCTATGATGATGATGATTATTTTAGGCAGGGAAGGCACAGCTCAGTTTGGAGGTGCTCGCCCAGCACACACTAGGTTTGCCTAGCGTACACCCTGAGTTTGATACCCAGCACAAAACAGTCATGGTGATGTACACTTGTAATCTCAGTGCTTTGGAGGTGGGGGCTGGAGGATCAGAAATTCAAGGTATCCTCAGGTATTATAGGGAGTTAAGCCAACCTGGGGTATTTGACACGTTATCTTTAAAAAAAATTTTTTAAAGGTCACTTAAAGTGTAGTTATCCATGGATAAATGGGACTCGCACAAGTAATCCCCTGTTTCTGAAATGTGAAACTGTATGTGTTTTGTATATTTTTCTTGCCTGTGTTCTGTTTCTATGACAAGCACAGCAAGGAAGACAAATGTGAGCAGTGAGAAGCAGCGGATACCTCTGAAGGAGGCCCGTCCTGCTACTCACACCCTCCTGCCACCCCCAGCTCCCGCGTGGGTCTTACTTACGCATCTCCCAAGAAAAGGTTGGGCCAGACCTCATTGATGTGGGTCAGTGTGGTGGTCCGACGGACCCACAGCAATCGCTGCAGCGAGGCCAGAGTGGGGGGCTGGTAGCGGGACACCTCGACTGCCCCATGAATCTTTGGCCTCCGAAGGTCCTGCTTCTGCAGGGAGTCCATCCTGGAACAGAGCGGACACAGCCACAGCTGGGGCAGGCTCCCCAAGGATGGGTCCAGTGGACAGGGAGGCCTGGGATGCAGCACCAGGAGCCCCTGGGATGCTGTGGGGCCAGCCTCAGCTATGCTGACTGAGGCTAGAACCTAGAACCTTTTCCCTGGGAACAAGGAGAACTAGAATCCCCATGTCAGTGCCATGGCGCTAAGCAGACCTTCCCTGAGGCTCTGGATGTTAGAAACATTGGCCTTAGGAACTTTGGGGATCTCTGTAGAACAAATCAGTGCAGACCCTACCCCTTAAGTCTCTGGAAACTCCAGCTGGCTCAGGCTCTCAGAAAGCACCCGGGATGTCCATCAACCCCAGGCAGCTCTTCTCTACCCCACCCCTGCTGTTTCTAGGGCTGGTCCTCAAACCCCCACTTTCAGAGCGCTGTCCAGGGTCAGAGCCCAGCTACTATTTGGCACTGATCGGCTCTTTCACACCAGGTGAGCTGGGGCCTCTCTTATGCAGAATGTATCCCTTGTTAACGTATGTCCCTCGTTTTCCACTAAGGGACACTGAAGCTCAGGGGGTCAGTTCGGAGACATACAAAGACAAGTGGCTGATGACAGCCCTGGGGTTGATATCCACTTCTGAGTGACTTCGGTTCCTTCCCCAAACCTTCCAGTTGCCAGGGGGGCGGTCACCAACTCTGTCTCCTGTAGGAACCTGTCAGGGCTGAGCTGCATCTGCCTGCAGGCCCCGGGCTTTCCCTCCTTACCCCCGGGACTCAGGCCATTGCAGCTGCGCAGGCCTCACCCGGATGGGGTGGGCTGTGTCTGGAGTCAGCTGGCTCAGGCCATCCGGGACCCTGCAGAGCTGGGATGTCAGAGGCACCAGAACCCGGGCCTGCTGCCTTAGTGGGAAGGGAGACCTATCTTGGTAAACTTCCCCTGGTCCCTTCAAGGAGTAGCTAGAGAAGGTACAGACTGGGTAGAGCATCTTTTCCTTCTGGCAGGCAGAGCCAGGACCAGAAAAAGAAACGGGCACCCAGGAGGCCACCGGCTTGGCCAGGCTCACCCAGCGGGTTGATGGTGAGTTGGGAGGAAGTGAGGACCGGGCTTTCTCCCTCATGCCCACTGTGACCTCTCAGGACAGGCTGAGCGGCCTGCCACCTACCTAGGGCATGGTCTGGGGCCAGGAATGGGGGACTGGGTGCAGGGGCAGGACTCTGCCTGTGAGTGGAACAGTCCTAAGGCAGATTCCGTCCAGAACACAAATGCTGTGAAGCGCCTAGAATTCTAGGTCACCCATTTTGAGCCAGTGGGGGTGGGGGGGTGGGGGTGAGAGCAAGTCTAGGCTGCTTGGAAGCAGTTTCTCCCTAGTGTTTCTTCATCTTTCCCTGGTGTTTCTGGTACTGAAAACACTTGTCCTTATAATCCTCCTGAAGATGGGGACCAGCTGAAGGGAGAACGCACTTCCCTTAAAAATTGGCCAGGATACATTCTGTGGCCTAAGCCAAGTTTTCACTCCTGTCTCTACCTGAGTTCCTCAAGTTAAAGATTGCTGAGGTTGCCTGACTTCAATAGATTTTCTGGTATTCTGCAGGCTGCAAGAGGTAACTCCAGACCAAGGGACATTGGGTTGGAAGGGACCTCTGAGGCCAGGGAACTCCAACAGCCACGCTGGCCTGGAGCCACGGGGTAGACTGCTCCAGCTCTGAAAGGAACCAGACAGGGATTTGGGAAAACTCTGGGCCCTCACAGGCCTGCTAAACTTGGTATGGGGTAAGTCTGCCCCCTGGTGGCCATGGCTACCAGGCAGCACAGCTGGCCCAGAGGAACTATGTCAGGGATTTAGGGCAGTTTTCAGTCTTCCAGGTCTAACCTAGATCTGCAGGAAAGGGTTTTCTTGGAGTTAGGGCCTCATGGTCAGGTCCTACCTAGGGCTTTGCTTCAGGCGCTCAGGGATTATGTAGCCGGGTTATCTGCTCAGGTCCCCTGAGGGCTCCCACCTATCAGCCAAAGCCAGGCGCACTCACTCAGTGACCCATTTTTAAAAAGTTTTAGCCCCGCCCCCATCCCAAAGGCAGCCCAGGGACACAGTTCCCTTGATTCTTGCTGCCTTTTGGAGGGCCCTGCTTGACACGGACGTGTCCACTTCAGCGTGTGAGAATGTGACATGAGTGTCGTGTAGGAACAGGCCTGTCTCTTCACACTCGTAACAGCCCTAACGCTGCCCCTGGCGACACCTGGCCTCCACTAGCTCTGCGGGCCTTCTGCACACTGCCACTGTTTTCAGGCTACACGCTTGCTCTCTGTTGGCTTCACAGCCGCTCAGCTCTAGCTTGCGCTGTTGTCTGTCTCCCACAGCCTTCTAGAATACTACCGTGCATGCCCACAGCCCGGGCCCTGCCCAGCCACCTGGGGGCAGGACAGCTGCTTGCTGCCTACCTCTTTAGCTGTGACCCCAGGGCACATTCCTCCTGGTCTTCCCCGATGCCCCCTCTCTCTGCCTCCCCTCTTCTCCAGGGGAGCATAGGCCAAGTGGGACTGGAGTTCTCACAGGAGAACATTGAGGAGTCTGGGAAAGGGGCCTCGGGAACCATGGCAGACAGATGCCAAGGGTGGGCCTGTGGTGGTCTCTGCCCAGTGTGCTTCTCTGCACCCTGGAAGGAGATGGGCCTGAGTGAGAGTCTCTGAGCACAGATTTTCACTAAGGGCTGCTGGGAGACCCCCATGACATCACAAATGATATGTGCCTCCTAGAGTTCCTGCATCACAGGAGATGCCCAGTCAATGGGCATCACGTTATCTCATTGCTGTAATCTCTCTCTTCATCTTAGGACTCAGCAGTGCCCTCAGAGGATAGGCCTCTACAGTCTGCCGAGGCCTCCCCTGGGTCTCTGTTTCTTGAGTGTAGTCACAGCTTAAGGAAACACATTACAGACCAGACCGAGCCCAGCACTCACATCTTCCCACTAAGTCCACACAGTCCTCCGTTGCGGCAGGCCGTAACCACACCCCCACTTATCTGATGAGAGAACTGAGCTCACAGAGATAGAGCAATAGGCCCAAAGTCATACAGCAGTGAAAGGCAGAGTTCTGTGCCTCTACCTCTGACCAGTTGGGCCACCCCAACACAATCCTCACAGTTGCCCAACACAGCCTAGGTGGGGGTGCTATGGGTACCACTACCCAGCATTCTCAGGGGTCCCTGAGTTGAGGCCGCTCACCCACCTGTAAGGAGATCCTGCCCAGGCTGTAGTCTTCTCTGACAGGCAGGGTGTACTGCCAGCTTCCAGCCGCCCGTCTCTGCACACTTGATGCTGCTTCTATTTTTTGATTTGAGTTTAATTATAAAGCATGTTGTCCTCTCCCTTCTGTCTCCCCTCGCCACTCCCCACTTGCCCATTGGTCCCAGGGCATGGTCAGCCCCAAGCTCAGCCAGGCCTCAGTCTTAACGTTATGCTCAGCCCCAGGCCTCAGTCTCAACGTTAGGATACAGGAAACTCTGAGGGTCTGCCGGTGCTGGGAAGCCTGAGTGTATTTGGCTAGCTGGGCAGGGAAAAGGAAAAAAAGTCAAGCAAGCAATCTTAAAAATTCCCTTCAGAGCTGGGTGGTGTTGGTGCACGCCTTTAATCCCAGCAGTCGGGAGGTAGAGGCAGGAAGAGCTAGCTCTGTGAGTTCAAGGACAGCCTGGTCTGCAGAATGTTCTAGGCCAGCCAGGACTACAGAGTGAGACCTGAGACCCTGTCCAAAAAAAAAAAAAAAAAAAAAAAGCAAACCATACATATGTATGTATATATATATATGTATACACACACACACACACAAAACAAAAAACACCTCCCCCTCCAAAAAATACAGAGAAACCCTGTCTCGTAAAACCAAAAAAAAAAAAAAAAACTCCCTTCAGGGCTGGGAGGCGTTGCTCAGTGCTAAAGCACTTATTTAGTATGCCTGAAGCCCCCAGTTCCGTTGCAGCACTGGTCAAAACAGCCAGCCAGCCAGACACATAGCCCTGTCCCTCCCCCAAACTCCCTCCCCCAAACTCCCTCCCCCAAACTCCCTCGGTTTTCAAAGGTTGCTCAGAGCAAGGGCAGAAGGCAGAGAGCTGAAAGGATTTATGCAGGAGGACGGAGAAGAAATGGCTCAAGGCACAGGCACACTGATGGCGTGCGAACATCTGCTCATGGCCTGGAAGCCTCTGTTGGGTGTGACTAGCTCAGGAGTAAGATCCAGATTCAGCTGAGGTATCACAGACAGGCAAAGGTGTAAGGGGATTACAGAGCAGGTGTGTGTGGTTAGGGGCTTTATCCAGGAGCAGCTCTCCTCTCCACTGCCCTCTCCCTCCCTCAAAGACAGGGATGCCCAAGGGTAATGCTAGTGAGAATCCTTTAGATTTGACATTAAAAACCTCTCTTTTTGGGACCGGAGAGATGGCTCAATGGTTAGGAGCACTGACTGCTCTTCCAGAGGACCCAGCACCCACATGACAGCTCACAACTGTCTGTAACTCCTGCTCCAGTGGATCTGATAGTTTCATACCAATGCACATAAAATAAAGTTAAATACATTATTTAAAAAACCTCTCCTTTTAATCCAGATGCTCTAGCCATACCATAATACTCTCCAGCCCTACCCCGTCCCCACCCACCCACACAGGAGCTAAGACTCAGCCACGGAACTCTCCTTGAGGCTCAGGGAGAGCATTGAGAGTCAGCCTCACTAGCCCATCAGGGAACTTGGGGAACCCTGACCTCAGCTGACAGACAGCCCTTTCCCACCTGTGGAGACTGAAGACCGCGGCTGGGAGGGTGCGGGGAACGCTGGAGGGAGCAGATGAAGCGGCAGGCTCTCAGGTGAGCCCCACACCGGGCCCCTTCCGTCATCGGTGCATCCAAAGGTGCTACGGCTGTCATCAGGGCCAGGGCCAGAGTAGCAAGCTGGCAGAGCCTGGTGGCGGAGAGTAAGGACTGGTTCTGGAGAGGAGAGAACCTCATGTTACAGGTAAACAAAGGTCTAGGTTGGCTGCAGCATGTCAGGACAGGAGCTAGAGCTATTACCTAGCCTGCTTCAAGATCAGCTGGATACAGGAGAAACGACGAGGGTAGGTTTGACATCAAGGGCTAATGGAGACATGGTCTCTCTGCACAGCCACCTCACCACAGGGCCTCAGCTGTGGGCTTGCTGGGCACGGTTGTACAGCCTGTGTGCTGCAAACCTCTGGAGCCTCTCATGACACAGACAACTTGGTAGATGTCATTTCCACAAGTTGGGCAATGGGGCAGTCCTGCTTAACCAACTTCCCCCAGACCAGCTGTCTGATGGGCAAGGTGCTGAGGTCGGAGGCCAGGGTGTCTGAGACTCCAGGCTAAGCAAGAGATGGACTGGGCATGATGCAGAGCCCGCTGCTCTGCCTCGTTTCCCACTCCTGTCTGGAGGGAAAGAACTGGCCACCTACACAGGTTACTAACGCCAGCGCGTCAGAGGAAGTGTGTGCCGGCTGGCTCTGCTGCTGGCTGGGAACGTGTGAGTCCTGCAGGCCTTTAGGAGAGCCTGGGCAGCACTCAAGCAGGCAGGAAGGCCTTACCTACTGCACGTACGGCTTCCTAACCCCAACCTTTCCTCATCTCTTATTCTCCGCGTTTGAAAGAGGGTGTCATATGCCGGGTCCAGTAACTTCCAGGGGCTCCTTTGTCTCTGTCTCCTATCTCCCCACAGAGTATGAGGTTCAGCCTAATGTGGGTTCTAGAGATTCAAATTTAGGTCCTCGTGTGGCAAGTGCTTTTACCCACTGAGCCGTCTTCCACCTTTCTCTGTTCTCTGGAGAGTTAAAGAATCCAGGAGGGGGGCTGAAGGGATGGCTCAGTGGTTGAGAGCACCGGCTGCTCTTCCAGAGGAGCCGGGTTCAGGTTCCAGCACCCACGTGACAGCTCACCCCTGTTTGTAACTCCGGTTCCAGGGGATCTGGCGCCCTCCCACGGGTGCACACAGACTAGAGGGGGCTGGGAGAGAGAGGATGGCCTGTCGGGCGCTGGATGGAGAACACAGCAGTTTGGGAAAGGGAGCGAGTCCTCTCTTTCAGCCACACACAGCCCTGCCCAACAGCTCCGTCTCGGGCTCCACTGCCCATGCCCTCAGTCACACGCAGCTCCGCCTCCTTGCCCTTCCTTACCTGACTCCTTAGCTCTGGCCTGCACCCCGCAGCTGCTGGTCCAGCTGGCAGAGCTGGCGGAGGAAGCCACGGTTGGGGAATATCCATCGGCGCTCCTTCACTGTGCCCACTGCCTGCTGTAGGGTCAGCTGCTGGTGCAGCATGAGGTAAGCCAGGACCAGCGTGGCCGAGCGGCTCACTCCTACCACACAGTGCACTAGCACCTTAGCTGAAGAAGACATTCGGGTGATTGACCCCTACCCACCAGTCAGCCCACCCAAAGCATGGGGCCCAAACCTAAATTCCATTCCTGAACCTGTCTTGGGTGTAGTATGGGACCCTGTGCAAGTCCCTCAGCCTTTATGGGCCTCCGTTTCCTGGTTTCCTGGTCTTTCAAATGCGTAGACTAACATCTGTCTTGAAACACAGTCCAAACCCTCAACACGACTTACAAAAGCCTTTGAGGTTAGACGGTGCTGGTGCAAACCTTTAGTCCCTGAACCTGGAAAGCAGAGGCAGGCTGATCTCTGAGTTTGAGGCCAGCCTGCTCTACAGAGGTAATTCCAGGACAGCCAGGGCTACACAGGAAAACAAAACAAAACAAACAAAAAACGGGTCTGGAGAAACTAAAAAAATAAAAACAAGCCTCTGAGGACTTGAGATCCTAACCATGCACCTCACCTCAATCAGAACCTACTCCAAGCCTCAGCTTTGCAAACACAGGCAGACTTTCAGTGCCCCGGGGCTGCCATAGCCTCTGACCTTTCTTCTCATCTTGGTCTGACTGGCCTTTGCTCATCCACGAAGTCACATCAACTTTCCTCACCACTCGAGGCATCACTTGAGTCACCAAGCAATTAGTCCTTGTTGCGCATGACCTAGGGAAACGGCTGCAGAGGGAAACCCTGACACAGCTGTCCTCCGGATTGGGTGTTTACGTAGCTCTGCACATTTGCCCTCTTGTATCAGTGACATATCAGGATATGTCACTGTTTGATTAGCAGGTTCTACAAGAGTAGGGGCCTTGGCTTCTGAGTGTTTAGTTCCTTCCCTGACATGGGGTGAATAATGACTAGGTGATGGATGAATAGATGCAGAAAAAAAAAATGTCAAAGTGCTTTGGCAATTACAAAGCAACATGAACCTTGCCAAAACCCTCATCACAAAAAAATGAGGAAGCGGAAACCCAGAAGGCACTGGCTTGCCCAGGGTCACAGAGAAAAAGAGCATGACTGTTTTCCCAAGATGAACACACAGTAAGGACCCCAAGGCCTTTCAAGGCCTGTTGTACCCTGGGTGTTTTGTTTCGCTCATTTGGAGGTACTTTAGGGCAGACTTCTGCCTGTTGCAGAGTAAGACTTGTTCTGATGTTTGTGAGGCCTGGATTCCAGCTGCATGGCTGCTCCTAACTCATTATGGCCTCACTTTCTCCATCTGTTTGTTGGGTTGGTTTTGTTTGTTTTTGTTTTTGTTTTGAGATAGGGTTTTCTGTGTAGCCCTGGCTGTTCTGAAACTCTCTCTCTGCAGATCAGGCTGGCCCCAAACTCACAGAGATCCACCTGCCTCTGCCTCCCGAGAGCTGGGATTAAAAGCATGAACCACCAACGCCCAGCTGACTTTCTGCATCTGCGAAGCAGACAGATAAGATGCTGAGGCATAGAGCAGAAAATTGTTAGAACAGCAACAACAAAAAGAGGAAAACAAAGAAACACAACACACACACACACACACATACACACACACACACACACAAAAACAAAACCAGGCATGGGAGGATGCTGAGGGGAAATTGGATACGCCCCCGAAAAGTGAGCAGAATGGAATATGGACTCAGCCCCAACTCCTACCCCCAGGTGTGCTGAGGGCACGGTGAATGAAGTCAGCTGCTGAGGAGAAGTAGGTGCTGATATTGAAATCTGGGAGGTCGTGGGCTGGCACCCCCAGGTAGCTCACGCTGCTGCCGTAGAAGTCAGGGCCTCCCTGACAGTAGAGTCCCCCGTGGGCCGCATTCAGCACATGGGTGATCCCCAACTTCCACAGTTCAAAGCGGTTATTTGCTGTGGCCCTGGGAAGGGCAAAAAGGGGCCTGAGTATGGGCTGAGCCTCTGAGTCAGAGGGAAGCTTTGTTGGACCAGATTTGGGGAGGGTAAAGCTATACGGGTAGAAAGGGAGCTAGAACCATCTATGGCGAGCTGGGCCTGCAGCCCTCTGTCCCAGTCTCTGAGCTCGAGGGCTGTGTTTCCGTCTCTTGCTGTCTCCGGCAGCCTTCCCCCACCAAAGGCAGGAAGAGATTGCTTCAGCCCTGACAACTATCTGCCCCTCCCTTCTTGTCACATGTCCTCTTACTCACACATCATCTAGAATCACTTGGTCACCACGTCATACTTGCTCCTAATCTACAAATATTTAGAAGTGACACCTTTCCTGATTCATCCTAGGTCAGGCTTCTCCACCCGCTCAGTGTCCACAAAAGGCAAGCTGAAACCAGACTGTGTGCTCCGTCTACATCGTTTCATATTCCAAACGTTATTGCTTCCCAGACTGGCCAGCTGTCTAAGGTGTGCCTGAAGACCGCAGGGATGTTCCAGCCAGGAACTCCCTTAGATCTTCCCAAGAAACAAAACCAAAAGACTCCCCCTGCTGCTAGAAACTGGTCATTGAACCGCTCCTGGCGCTTAGGAGTCCGGAGAAAATTGCTGACGGGGCGAGCTAGAAGCAAATAGTTCTCCTCGTTCCCTCTCTGCCTCCTCCTCTGGTAAAGAGTTGGGGGTTGTTTGTTTCTCCTTGACCCACTCGTACAACCCTGTCAGCAGCCACTTACGCATCTCCTATGAAAAGGTTGGGCCAGACTTCGTCTACGTGGCTGCAAGAGGCTCTCCCGGACCTCAGGAGCTCTTCCAGCTGCAGGACACTAGGGCAAGGTGTGGCTTCCGTTCCTTCGCCCAGTTTTGGGATGACAGCCTCAGCCATGGGCCAGCCTGCTCCGCCGCTGCCTTCAGCGCATTTTTCTCTGCCACCCCTCCCCCCCCCCGTGTCATTTCTTCTTCCCAAAGATTGGCAGTGACAGGTGGGACCAAGTGACTCAGCAAGTCCCAGAGGCCTCCAAAGAAGGCAAGACCTATCCCTCTTGTGCCGACTCTCATCCCTAAAGTCTCCGAGAACACGGAAATGGACCCTGCAAGTCATTTCTCCACCTCCATCAGTTTCTTCTGTAAACCTAAGCACACACCTGCCCCGGAGACTTGTTTCTCTCTCTCTCTCTCTCTCTCTCTCTCTCTCTCTCTCTCTCTCTCTCTCTCTCTCTCTCTCTCTCTTCTTCTTCTTCTTCTTCTTCTTCTTCTTCTTCTTCTTCTTCTTCTTCTTCTTCTTCTTCTTCTTCTTCTTTTTTCCAGACAGGGTTTCTCTGTGGCTTTGGAGGCTGTGTAGACCAGGCTGGCCTCGAACTCACAGAGATCCGCCTGCCTCTGCCTCCCGAGTGCTGGGATTAAAGGTGTGCACCACCAATGCCTGGCCTGGAGAATTGTTTCAAGGGTTGAACAAAACAAAAGATTCACTATGCCTAGCATACAGTAAGTGTTTTGAAATAGTTTAATAATAGGTGTCCAGCCCTTGCATAGAGATTATTAGGTTCTGAGGACAGAGTTAAAGCACTGAGTGATGAGTGTTAGAAAAGGACTTTGTGAGAGACCAAAGGCTATGATGGATTGGATCCTTTTAACTGTGGAACACGGGGGAAATTTCCTGAGTTGTGGGGTCAGAAAAACTTAGGGAGACATGGAGGAACATCTGGTGTGCCCAGAAAGTTCACATGGAAGATCTGCATGATGGTCCTATAATGAAGATAGCCAATTTCTTTTTTTAAAGATTTATTTATCATGTTTGCCTGCACGATAGAAGGGGGTACCATATCCCATTATAGATGGTTGTGGGCCACCATGTGACTACTTGGAATTGAACTCATGACCTCTGGAAGAGCCGCCAGTGCTCTTAACCTCCGAGCCATCTCTCAAGGCAATAGCTGATTTCTTAAAGAGAAAGCTGATGGGTCCCTGTATGTCAAAGAGAGGTGAACAAAAAATTGCCCTGAGTTCTGAGAGTCAAAGAACCTGGCAGTAGAAACATTTTTAAAAGATTTGTTATGATTATTTTTCCCCCAGACAGGATTTCTCTGTGTAACAGGCCTGCTGTTCTGGAACTCACTTTGTAAGCCAGTCTGGCATTGAACTCACAGAGATTCACCTGCCTCTGCCTCCCAAATGCTGGGACTAAAGGTGTGCAACACTACTGCCTAAGATTTGTTATTTTTATAAGCAAAAATATTTTATTGGAACAGGGCAGTGATGACACATGCATTTAACCACAGCACTCAGGAGGCAGAGGTAAGCAGACCTCTGTGATTTCAAGGCCAGCCTGGTAGGTACACAGAGGGAGTTCCAGGACAGGCTCCAAAGCCTTTGGGAGGCAGAGGCAGGTGGATCTCTGTGAATTTGAGGCCAGACTGGCCTACAAAGTGAATTCTAGGACATCCAGGCCTGTTACACAGAGAAATCCTGTCTATAAAAAAAAAAAACAATTTTTATTGGTACTGGAGAGATGACTCAGTGGTTAAGGGTCCAGACATGCATGCAGGCAAACAATTACAAATATAAAATACGTTTAAAAAGTATTTTGGCAGAGGCAGGTGGATCTTTGAGTTCGCAGCCAGCCTGGTCTACAGAGCGAGTTCCAAGACAGACTCCAAAGCTACACAGAGAAACCCTGTCTCCAAAAACATAAAACAAAACAAAAACAATCATCTTGAGTGCTCGCACATGTGTGTGTCACATGCATTCAGTGCCAGCTGTGCCCAGGATACCGAATCCCCTCCAATTAGAGTTCTAGGTAGGTGTAAGTGCTCTAACCCTGATCTACAATTCTACCCTCATCCGAAACATTCCGAGGGTGGGAGAGGCCCCTGCCTGCAAGGCAGGGCTGTGGGAGATGAGATGTCTTTCACTGTCTCATGTGGCTTCATGGAGGCCCTGGCGGTGTGTGGGCACTGAGCAGACTCCTGGCTACCCCTCCTCTTTGTGTCAGTTTGAAGGGAAAGGCCACACCAAGGCACCGATGTCTGCCCTTCTATCATCGCCTCAGAACTTGTCCCCAACCCCTTCAGAAACACCCAAGCTGCTCCTGCGTCGTTCAGGAAAGCAGAGGCGAGGAGGACCCAGGACGGCAGCTGCAGAGGGCCTTGGGCGCGGTTTCTGTCGGTCCTAGGCTTGGGTTGGCGGGGGCATTCCGCTGGGCGGGGCACAGCAGTGCCAGGAGAGCCGTTTGGGGCTGGCGTGCCAGCTGGGGTCCAGGCTGACTGTCAGCGCTGTGTCAGGCTGCGACGCTTCTTGGCGTGTGTGAGGTCGACTTTGCAGAGTGGACAACAAGGATTGCGATTACAGTCTCTAACACGGACAGGGAATAAAGGAGCAACAGACCATGTCACCTCGGAACTGGCTGAAGAGGAGCTAGCCCCTGAAAAGGACTCCAGCCGGGTCGGCAACTCCACGGGAAGGCTCTCTCCCATTTCCATTAGGACCCCTCGGCTGCCTAGCCTTGGGCCTGACGCATGCGCTCTCACCCTCGCCTCCGGTTTCCCCCACCCCCCCCCGCCTCGGCTCCCTTCCGGTCTTGGCCCCGCCCCTCCTCCGATAGCGCCCCGCCCCCTGAAGCAGTTCCGGTTCGGCGGGCCGCTGCTGGCGGCGCGGCGCCGACGGGGCCGGAGCGATGCCCGCGCGTAGCCGAGCCGGCTCCCGCCTGCGCTCCGGCTCCCCTGCCCGGGCCCTGCGTCTGCCGCTCGAGACGCTGCTCTCCGCCGACGCGCCGAGGACTCCGGACTCCGACGGCGCCCCGGACGCCGGCTCCGAGCCGGGTCCCGGCAGCTCGGCTCCCACCGCGGAGGTGAGCGGGCTCCGAGGCTGAGGAGAGGGGAGAGATTGGGGGGCGCCCGCCGCCAAGGGTGAGTGGAGAGCCGGGGGCTCTGACGACCGCGGGGAGACGGTTGGGGGGCCCGGGGGAGGCCGCTCCGGAATGGAATCCGGAGGGAAGCGGGGGGTTGAGTTGACCTGCGGGCAGCGAGGGGCGCGGAGCGGGGACCGGGCCTTTGCAGCCCAGCCTGGCGGGGGAGGCCCCTGTGTGTGGGGGGGGTCCCCGGAATCCCAGCCCGGAGGAGGGGGCGCCCTGGGCTGTGGCGGGGAGACGGGGAGAGCTGGCCCCGGGCCGCCCGAAGCCGGCGCGAGGGCCAGGCAGCCGGGTGGGGACTGACAGCACCTGACCCGGGGGGAATGGTGGCTTTGAAGTTAGGCTTGGCCGGGGAGAGGGAGGGGTCGGGTGGGAAGTCTTTTAGCCTCAAGGTTAGGGAGAAAAAGTCCTAGAAGAAAAAGGAGCCCTTGGGGGATCTAATTTAGGGCCTTGGCTCTTTTACAGGTAAGTGTCTGTCAAGGCGTCCAAGATCCCTGGGTGGTGGGTGTGGGCTATAGGGCTTTCTTGTTTGGGATCCTTTTAAGAATCTGGAGTGCGAGGAGCCGAAGGGGTATGCCTCAGAGATTCGCGTCCAGGGACCGGGGGAGGCGAACCGAGAGGAAGTGATGTTTGAAGAGGGTAGTGATTTCTGAAAATAAAGATGCCACTCAGATTTCTTCTGAGGCGAGTGATTTATTCTTTTCCTTTGTGCTTCGTTCTTAAGGTTTAGATGTCCGGCAAGTTTAAATCTTAAGACAGGATTTTAACACGTTACCTTTCAGTTTTGAAAAACATACAAGAGGTTTTTGTTTTCGGACGCTTGGAGTTTACGGATAACTCAGTGAGAATTGTTAACACTTGTGTGTGGCTTGAGTTGACCCGCATATTGGTAGAAGTATGGTCCGTGGGAATTCCTGGGTTAAGAGGGCATACACCCAACAGTCCAGGAACCTACAGGATCTTTCCATTGGTAACTCTAGGATTGGGGTTACCTCGTTAAAAAAAAATGAGGGATAATTTTGACAGCTTTCCAGGACTGGTATTCTGCTGCTCTTTTGCAGATTTTTGCATGAATGATGTTTTTTTTTTTCTATAGTGCTTCTGAAAATTAAGGATAGTAAGGGGAGGTTGCAGTTGGCAGCTAACAAAAGGAACAGTGAGCACAGCACACAGGTGCTTTTTCTAGAAGACATGGTACCAGAGCCGTAATTCTGCCAGAAAAGTATCGATCCCCAAGTTTGTCCACTTTAATAGAAATGAGAAATGGTAACATGATTCCATGGAACCTTTGACTTTTAACAGAGGCTCATGTTTTACTTTGGTGGCATATCACACAGGTTTTGCTAAGCTGTTGGACTTTTCCAACCAATTTTAAATTATTTTCCACTCCAAACAAGTATCTACTGCTTAATCTTCATGAGTCGATCATTTGCTGATTGCAACAAGCTTTTAAATTGGTTTGTGTAAATGGACCATATATCATACTGTTGAATGTTTGGTGGAATAATAATGACCTCAAATAGGTGAATTCTTAATTTTGCTCTTTCAAGGCTGTCAGAGGGTAGACTAGTAAGAATGATCTTTAGATGAAGGGTTTTATGTAGCCTTAATGTTTGTGTTTCTGCTTTTTCTCACAGCTTGGGAACCTTCAAAGAACTTGTTTTCATATTAGCTCTGGTCTTTTTTTGGAAGCCTTCTCAGTGTGTAACACAGGCTAGCCTTTAACTGATTCTCCCATGTCAGCCTCCTGAGTGTTTGGGTTACAGATATGCACTACCTCACCCAGCCAAATTTAGCTGAGTAAAATTTTTGATGTATGAAAATTTGCTGAACTCAACTGAAATAAAAGAGTTCTCTGTTAACACATCCTAACATAATTGTGAAATTAAAGAGACAAACTGTTAGATGGAGTTAGAAAATTAATAGGTTAGTATGCTTAGTGATGATCGTGATTGTATTTTCATTTCCCTTTGTCAGTTCTCAAAGTCACTTATTTATAAAGAAAACTCAATTTTATGGTTAAGTAAATAGTGCAAGGCAGAAGGAGCTTTCACTACCGCAGTGGCAGAGTTGGCAGGTGCAATCAGAGAAATTATTTCAGTAGCATCCTCATTCTGCAAAGCTACTTCTCATGCTACACTGTTGCCTGTAAATATGTTGGTTTTATTGTAAGTCTTCAGTACTTTAACACTTAGCTGTAACTGATTGAGACATTGTCATGACTTTTCTTAGAGCTAGGATTGAACAGTTATTGAGAAACTGTTAAGTCCAGATGTTCTAATGGATGCTGTTATTATTTTGTTTTAGAAAAATGCCACATTAAGCTATAACTTAGCGGCAGAGCATTCGCCTACCATCCAGGAGGCTCTGGGTTCAATCAAGTAGTTGGAGGGAGAGAGCCCCATTAGCTATCTTGTTGAAAATCTTTGAAGATTTTTGCTTCCTAGCCTGATGTAATTGTAACTAGCATGGCCATTAACTTTAAAAGGTGTCTTTTAGTCTTCTAATTCTATTTTTTAAGGTTTACTAGTACATTTTCATAGTATGTAGTAGATTGTTATGTCTTGGTCCAGATTATTATTTTCTGTTACATTAACTAGGTTTGGGATATACCATACAAAAATAAAGATTTTAATCTGGGCAAGATGGTTTAAACAGGTAATCCTGTCACTCAGAACAAACTAAGAGGATCAGGAGTCAAGGCCAGCCTCATCCCTCTCTTAAAAGGGTATGTGTGTGTCTGTGTGTCTCAAATTGTAGTCCAGTTGATAAGAGTTTTTGCCTAGTTGATAAGAGTTTTGTTCAAACCTTGAATTCAGTTGCCAGTACAAAAAATAAAAATAAGGCTTTGCAGATGCCACTGTCCCCTGTCTCCTCTTCTTACAACCATGGTCAACCCTACCGTGTACTTTGACATCATGTCTCCTTCAAGCTATTTGCAAACAAAGTTCCAAAGACAGCAGAAAACTGAGCGTTCTCAGCACTGGAGAGAAAGAATTTGGATATGAGTTCCTCCTTTCACAGAATTATCCGAAGATTCATGTGCCAGGGTGGTGACTTCACATGCCACAATGCCACAATGGCTCTGGTGGCAGGTCCATCTACATCCACGTCCTGGCATCTTGTCCATGGCAAATGCTGGACAAACACAAAGGGTTCCCAGTTTTTTATCTGCACCGCCAAGACCGAGTGGCTGGGTGGCAGGTGTGGTCTTTCGGAAGGTGAAAGAAGGGGTGAACATTGTGGATGCCATGGAGCGTTTGGGTCCAGGAACAGCAAGACCAGCAAGAAGATCACCATTTCCAACTGTGGGCAACTCTAATTCTTTTGACTCGAGGGCTTCTTACCCACCAGACCATTCCTCTGTAGCCCAGGAGAGCATCCCCCCCATTTGCTTGCAATGCCCTGTAATCTCTGCCCTCACTGAAGTTCTTTGGGTTCCATATTTTCCTCATTCCCCTCCAAGTCTAGCTGGATTGCAGAGTTAAGTTTATGATTATGAATGAAAACTAAGTAAAAAATGAATAAATTAAAGGCTTTACCTGCCAATATGTCAAACTGTCAATTCATCTATACTTCTTAGACTAAGAATTAGGGTTTTACAGACTTTACTAGTGTGCTGTGGCATAGTGCCAGGTGAGGAACCTTTCACTAATTTTCCCACTAAATTTTGATTGCTATGTAAACACTTTTGGAATAGCCTACACTGTAAACTAGCCATTGTTGTCTGTTACATTTTTACTCAATTGAGCTCAGTTCCCTATGTGGGTAGAATTAGGTTCAACTCAGTAGTGGGAACTTTGATTTGAAGGTCTGATGAGTCCAGACAAGAATTGTGTTCCTTTGATACACACGAGAACTCTGGAGTATGAAGGGCATGCTTAGGACAGCAAATACAAACATGTCTCAGAACAGGGGTGCAGCCGAGAAGATGCTGATGAAGCCGGAGGAGTCGATGCACTTCCCTGTTTTCTGCTGCTCAGAGGAGTGTATGCAGGCATCCTAGAAAGGCCACTGCAGGAGACTGGAGTATGCAGGGTAGGAATTGCTCCTGCATCCCCGCAACTGTTTTGCAATGCAGAGTTCCTATAAAATGTTTTAGAAAAAAAGAAACATCCTGTGCTTGCCAAGAAAAAGTAAAGTATCCTTGGATAAATTTAGAGAAAAGTTTTAATTGCTCACTGCAAATGTTGCTATTTAGAATTTTCATTTTTCAAATGGAATAGAAAAAAAAAACTGGAGAGTCAAATTACTGTTACAGAATTGTTAATCATGAAATTTAGATAGAAATGCCCAAAGTATGGTATACTTTATGCTTTTGTAAGCTTTCTTTAGACTTTTGTTTATGGATATGCCAATTGGTATAATTTGGGTCTGTTGAATGCATAGTTTATAATCTGTATTAAATTAAATTGGAGTTGGGCTTATTTTAGCCTGAGTGTAGTTTTTAGGAAACATTATTTATTTATCTGTGGGAGTGTCAGCTAAACCATGGCACCTGTGTGGAGGTCAAAAGGTGACTTGAATGAGTCAGTTGTCTCCTATCATGTGGTCCCAAGGCTCATCAGATCTGGCAGCCTGCACCTTTGTCCACAGCTACCCCACCAGTCCGCAGTGGTTGTGTTTGTTTTGGGTAATACATACTATAAATTAATTTTTCCTGAATAATTTGCAACAGCTCAAAGAGTAGAAATAAAAGCAAAATTTCTAACAAGCAGTTCCTGTGTGAGATTCAGCACTCTTATATTCTGTTTGTAATATTTTGAAAATTATCACGTTACAAATGACATCGCTGTCGCTATAAGAATAGCACACTGTCAGCCGGGCGTTGGTGGCACATGCCGTTAGTCCCAGCACTCGGGAGGCAGAGGCAGGCAGATTTCTGTGATTTGGAGACCAGCCTGATCTACAAGAGCTAGTTCTGGGACAACCTCCAAAGT